ATCACCGGAGTTAGCCATGGAAATCCGAGTACAGAAACGCGAATAGGAAACTCTTGCGAAAGAATCCAACGAGTTTATCGGCCAAACGGCTCCAAAAGTCATCGACCGACCCGGGGCAAGCAACCTGATGACTCCGCAACGCATCAGCACGACTCAGAAACGCCACCCTCACCTGGGCCCTAGGAAGCCCCCACCAATTGGAACATCCTGCTAATAAAACCAGCCGTCCGATCAAGACGGCAGTCATAATGTCATTAGTCGAAAGTCTTTAGTCAATTTGCAATAAGTCAACGTTAGTCGTCATCGAAACTTCGAATGGAGCTCCTGGTCCCCGGTACTCCGTTCCTAGCGAGTCAGAGACCGAGACCATTGGACTCCCTGCCAAGGACGACCACTATCCTGCGACCTGCAGTAGCGCCATTCGGTATTCCAGCGATCCAGCCACCGAGTCAGAACTAGACGGCGGCACTGCGACTTCCGTTGGACGGGAGGCTTCTAGGAGACCTCCAACCCTAGGGCACAGTCATCCGACCGGGTCGATCAAAAGAGACTGTCACCGATTACGGCCGCTGAACAAGCCAGGTAGAGGATCCTTCGCAAGCTCGACTCATCCTCATTTTCATTCTAGTTTATTTATTAACCCTTCATCTCCGACCAAAACCGAATTCTAACCATTATCGCGATTTCCATGCCTTGCTCCGGTTAACCGGAAAGATTAAGAATCCATCGACTTCCATTAAACAGCTGAGCTCGAATCTCAGCATCGCGAAACAGAATCACGCGAAGACAGCCATTAGAACAGTCAGGAAGTCCCGCATTAGCACTCCGGCGTCCAGTAACCTGCCGCCACTAAAGCGTGCTATCGCGACACCCGAAACGCCGCGACGCGGAAGTATATTAATCTAGAGGAATTAGGTCAAGGCACCTCGGGTGCCCTTCCAGCTGATTGTAGTTCAGACCTCGCGTACGAATAAATGCAAATCTTAATACACTAGCCACATAGCCATTCGTTCGCACCCCTTTCTTATTACTCAGTCCCCTAGATCCCACCAGAGAAATTGATCTAGCAATCTCCTCACAAACTTAAAATAATCGTTACGCGCAAGATTTGGGTAATCTCCGTCTGAATTACCCCGGCCTCGCATCCGCTCGGCCGCCCCGTAACATGTTCGTGCCACGATTCTTCCATTCAACTGTGAAAGCTCGGCAAATCGGAGGCAATCACAATGATAGAGTCCGAACTGCCTTTCACAAATGAAATTAGTGTTAGTTCCTGCTTCAGAGTTGTCGCATTGACAAGGCCGAAGGTACGGATCTACACTTCTTTTGCACTCTTTTTCTCTGAACCTGCTTCTATTGACTTCTGTCAGTCGAAGGTATAGCTCTTTTCTTTTCCTTTTCTTCTTATTTTCCCGTTCTAATATTCGTGTGTTTGGGAGATGCTGCAATAGCACAGTCCCAGGATTGTGTTAAAAATGACTAAGAATTAGGGATGCGATGGCTACCACAAAGGCAGAGATCGCTGGGGTTGGGATTTATTTTAGAGTTTTTTCCCCTATATAAATTATATTTCTTAAATATTCATTAATTCCAGCTGATTCCGGCTTTTCTCCTGCGTAATATAGCTTTCTAAATTGTTAGTCTAATTGGGACTGGAATTTATCCTACTGCTAGTGAAATTGGGTATCTATCCCTGTTGAGTGCCAGACCAGATGACCGCTAGATTACGGCGCTAGGCGCCCCCTAAGCGGCCAGGCACTTCATAACACCCCCCTTCGGGGTTCGGGTTCGCTACCTGGACTCCGCTTACGACAATCCATTGTGGGGTCCGGAGTCTGTAGGGTTTCTTACTTCTTCTCATTGATCTCCACAGTCCTCCTTGAGGCCAGTCACCGTGATCCGCTCTTCATCTGATCAAATGCGACCGCTCCAGTCAAGTAGCTCCCACTGTTGCTTCTTGGACTTCATGCTTCTTCGGTAGCATGCACTTCACTCCTTTTCGTACGTATGCTTCCCCCGCACGATTGTTCCATACACACGAACGACTCATTACGACCGTACCGCACTACTCGAATGAAACGCTGCGACTCACTCGGCATGAGTCGACTAATTATCTTCGTTCCTCGCCACATGTACTTTTTCGGCAATCCCGGCTAATCCCTCTGGCAAATGGCAACCTTACCCGAGGTGAGGGCTGTTGGCCAGACCTTTCGTTTCTTGTTGTTTTCCGGGGAAAGTCACAATCGACGGGTAGAAATCATCCCGTCGGTAACATTCTACCCCTTGGTACGGGGACAGCATCGTCTCGTACCTTCAGGTTGACAGCGGGATGATTTTGTTCGCCGGCCGGTACAAGGTGCGTCCCCCGGTCTGCACCTCCACCACCCGCACACGACCATCACGACCGGGATGGATCGTCACGACTTTACCCCTAGGCCATACATTTCATGGCAGTGTATGGTCAACAATGATGACTATATCCCCAACGGCTATATCCGTCGCGTCTCCTCTTGCCAACGCTTCCGGGGCAGTAGTGTCGGTAAGTACTCCCTCACCCATCGTCTCCAAGACATGTCGGCCAGTCGCTGAGCCGTTCGCCATTGTTTCTTAAGGCATAGGTCCACGTCATCAAAGCGTCCCGGTACTGGAGCTCCTGACGATGTTCCAATGAGGAAATGGTTGGGCGTCAAACTTTCATCGTCCCTGTGGTCCATCGAGACATGCGTCAATGGACGGCTGTTGACCACGTGTTCTGCTTCCGTTAACAGGGTGGCTAGAGTTTCATCCTTCGGGGCACGCTCTTTAAGTGTCGCTCCTAGCGCCACTTTAACACTTCGAACGAGTCTCTTTCAGCTTCCACCCATGTGAGGCGCATGCGGTGGAATGAAGTGCCATTTTATGTTTCGATTAGTCGCTTCCGTCTGAAGCGTGTCTGGATTCAATTCGCGGATGGCTTGTTGGAGTTCTGAATCGGCACCTCGGAAATTCGTACCGTTATCCGAGTATATTTCCGTCGGCCACCCACGTCTGGCCGCCATCCGCCGCAACGCCATTATCGCGGCGTCGGTACTGAGGGATCCTTTCAGCTTCAAATGTATAGCTCGCATAGTTAGGCAGGTGAATAATGCACCCCGCCGCTTCTCATGTCGCCGTCCAACCGTCACGTCCATTGGACCAAAATAGTCCAACCCGCAGAACGTGAACGGTCTCGTGTGATGTCCCACACGAACCGCTGGCAAGTCCCCCATCCGCGGCTGCCTTGGTTTGGCCTTTTGAATCCGACACCACTGGCATCGATTGGCAACCTGTCGTACTGTTGGTCTAAAGTTTATAATCCAATATCTTTGCCTCAACTCATTGATCACGGTTTCCGGGCTTCCATAACCGATCCGCTGGTGGTGGTGCAGGACGAGCAGTCGTGTTTACGGGTGTCGGCCGTCCAGGATAATCAGCGACGTATCGTCCTCTGGCACTCTTCTCGCGGTGCCAATGCGTCCTTGAAGACGCATTGTCCCGGTTGAATCGATGGCGGGGGATAATTGGTATAGGCGACTACTACTGCAAATATTCCGCCTTTGCCGTAGGGCCGCTAGTTCCGGACCAAAGCTGTCTTCCTGTGACTTCCTGGCTACGCTGGAACATTACGTCTCAGCTGGCGCCTTGCACGAATGCTCGCACCACGCGGGTGCAGAGGAGGGACCTCCTCGAGGTTCCCCGCGGGCAACGGGTGGGGTCAAGCGGCCTCCCTTCGGGGAGTGCGTCGCGGAGGCCCCGACCCGGCAAGCGCCTCCCCGGGGTTTGAACGATCGGTCCGGAGCATTCGGGTTTTTCCAGCCCGTCCTGGGCCTTCGGGCCCCTTTGGCGGTGGGGTGGGTGGGGTACGGAGTGTAACCCCCCAGCAATGGGGGGGCCGATAAGGAGGATCACCCTCCAGGTGCGGTCGGCCGCAAGGCCGATACGATGTCATGTGACTTCCTGGCCCAATGCTGCTCCGCCCGGTCGATGAAATCTTTCCCCATCTTCGAGTTTGATGCTTTCTTGCATCGAGCAAGAAACACGAGGACCCATGCGGTTGTCCGTATTAGTCTCATCCATGATGAGAATCGTTCCACGTCTGGCAGACAAGTCTGAAGTCGGTCAATAGTGACTGTCACAAACTGCCGTTTTTGTTCTTCTCTGGTACGATCTAAACCCTGTATCGGTGTCAACGGTGGCCACTCCGACTCCTCCTGCGCGAAAAAGGATGGTCCCCGCAACCACCGAGAGTTCGTCATGAGCACAGCATTCGTTGCGTCGTCTGCGGGATTTTGCTTTGAAGGGATCCATCTCCACTCGTCAGCTTCTGTCAAATCGTCGATCTCCCCCAGTCGATGAGCCCACGAACGCCTTATATGTATGTGGGTCGGATCTAATCCACTATAAGACTGTGCGTAAGTCAGTCCAGAAGCTACGCTTAAGTGGTTTCATTTCGTGCTCCTTGGTGATAGTCCGAGCGAGTTGACTGGTCAGCTCGGCCGCCTGAAGCTCCATCCGCGGGACGGAAACCAGCTTGAGAGAGGCCACCCTGCTCTTGCCCGCTATGAATGTCATCAATCGATGGTCGTGGCGTACCGTACTCTCCAATACGCCACAGCCGCGAACGGCTTCTCACTTGCGTCGCAGAAAATGTGGAGCTCAAAGTTCAGTGGGTTTTGGCCCTTGACAAGATAACCTCGGGGTACGGTACAGTGCACGATTTCCTTTATGTCTTTTATCCAGCGTTGCCACCCCCGATACTCCTGATCTCTCAGCTGAGTGTCCCATCCAATCCCGGAGCGCCAGACGTCCTGCAGGAGTAACTTACTCCGGATGGTGAAAGGGGCGAGGAAACCCTGAGGATCGAATATTGACATGATAACCCGCAGCATTTCTCGCTTTGTCGGTCGGCGGTTTCCTGTCGTGATGTCTTCTGGTATCTTCTTCATGCTCAGATCAAATGAGAGCGTGTCGGTGGAAGGGTTTCAGATGACCCCAAGTGTTCGGTCCACAGAATGCTCATCTAACGTGAGACTCACGGTTCCAGTCGTCGCCTTGTCCACAGTCAAGCTCTCCAACACTCGTTTACTGTTACAAGACCATCCGCGTATTTCGAAGCCCCCATGTTTGTGAACTTCGGTGACCTCGCGAATAAGGCGAATAGCCTCTTCATCCGTGTCCACGCTGTCTAAGTAGTCATCCATATAATGTTTATGGACTATCGCACTACAAGATGATGGGAATATTGCTTCGAATGCTTGCGCATTCCTGTTCTTTACATATTGAGCTGAACACGGAGACGACGTCGCTCCAAATATCATTGACGTCATCTGGTATGTTGTTGGTTGTTGCCCCCGCATATCACGCCACAGGAACCGCTGCGCATTACGATCCTCTCGGCGTATTTTTATCTGAAGGAACATCTCCTTGATGTCGCCCGTGAATGCCACACGCCGCTGCCTGAAGCGCATAAGAACTCCCAGCAATGAGTTTAGTAGATCTGGTCCGCTTAATAATTTATCGTTAAGGGACACGCCCTGTGTCCTTGCTGCTGCATCGAACACCAGCCCAAGTTTTCCCGGCTTGTTCGGGTTTGTTACCCCAAAATGGGGCAGGTACCAAGTTCTTGGCCCTGCATCTTTGGCATCAATTACTTTGGTTGCATAATCGTTGTCATTCAGATTCTTTATCTCTCGCGCGTACGCTTTCCCGAACTTTGGGTCTCGGTCCATCCTGTGTTCCAGCACTTTAAGTCGGTTTAAGGCCGTGTGATGATTATTTGGGAGCTGTACAGCGTCGTCCTTCCAGAGCAGTCCCGTTTCCCACCGCCCTTCAATTTGGCGTGTTGTGGCCGCTAACAGACTCTCGGCACGCTGGATCGCAACATGTTTCCGGCTGTGAATAGTTATCCCCATGCCCTCAAAACCGAAGTGTGCTTTTATCAGCGCGTAAAGGTCCATATCCTTTTTTGTCCGATCGGTGTCGATGTCATTTGTTCCGTTGATCTCAGGGTCCTCCAGTGCTAGAGTGCGGTGGTCGTTTCGACGTTCGCTCCTCGTCGGTGCATATCCATGGACGACCCACCCCAGTTCTGTGCGGGAGGCTACTGGTGCATTGCGTCCAGATTCGCGAATTTCGCGAGAAACTATTAGGTCCCAATTGTCTTGTCCAAGAAGTACCTTGGGATCGACGTCGGAACAGCATTCACCCACCAATTCGGTCAAATGGGCGAACTTTCTCAATACCTTTTCCGAAATAGACTGGCACGGGAGAGACAGCTGTCGTACGGTACGAGCTCCTGATATTTTACGGGCAGGGCCATCAGGCATCCCTGCTATTGCGAAGTTTACTTTCTTACTTTCGCGGTCTGTCGTTTCCATGTTCTTGATGCCCTGCAGGGACAGCGCAGCTAGTGGTCCATCTGCCTCAATCTTTTCTGCGAGATCAGCGTCCACCAGAGTTACCGTTGAACCCTCGTCCACCAGCGCGTAGGTAGTGACGTCACCGCGGGGTCCGCATAGCTGGAACGGCAGGATTTTAAGTAGGATCTTTTTCTCTCCTTTTGGCCAAGTGTTGGCCGTCACTTCAGGTTCGGCACTCTCCGTATCAGCTTCCTGCCTGGCAGTGTCGGTTCGCTTGTTAGGCCGACCCGCTCGGTGCAGCAAGGTGTGCATTGCATCCCGGGTGCTCACACTTCTTGGACTTACATTTTTGGCGTCGATGCCCTCCTACCAGGCACCGGAAGCAAACACCCGCTCGTGTTGCCCAGTCCCAACGGGCCTTTACGTGCTGCAATTTAAACCTTGGGCATACACCCACCTGATGTCGCGGATTATCACAGAAACTACATTTGCCAGTTTGCTCTTTCGTTTTTTCGTTTCGTAGTTGCTGAGATCCCTCGGCCTTGTCTCTACTAATAGTAGTGAAGGCTGCACTCTGACGGCCACGGATGGCAGCACGCCTTGAGCCCCAAGAGTCCTCCCTGCGTCCGTTCTCGAGGCGGGGCCGAGACTCATGGACTCTTCGAACACCCGCCCGGCACACGAGTTCAGCCTCGTTGAACAGGAATCTTGACAGACTCACCAGCCGTGGCTCCTGTGAATCCCGATTCTGATCAACATAGCGAGTATATTGATGGATCAATGTTGGAGGCATCTTATCCAGAATCTGTGCTCCCAATTCTGAACTGTGTAGGTATCCAACGTGGTTGACTGACTCCATTGCCGCCACGTAGTTTCGCACTTTGGTGGCAAATATCACGAGGTTACCTAGATTTATGTCGATTTTTGGGAGTCGTTTTATATCCCGCAGAATTTTTTGCGCTACTAAGTCCGGATTGCCGAATCGCAGCTGCAGGATATCCATGATCTCTTTTGTCGTACTTGTTGTGATCATTAAAGACGCGACTGCTTCCCTTGCTGTCCCTCGGAGGCAACCATATAGTCGGGCCATGTTTTCCTCCTCGGTGTATCCACCTCTCTCGGTGGTCAGATTAAAGGCGCGTTTAAAAGCGGGCCACTCCAGTACATCTCCACTAAAAGTCGGTCGATCTTTCCCCGATGATAATCGACTAACCAGGTGGCGTGTTGTCACCCCAGTTGATGCACCTTCTCTTACGGTGTCCAGTGCTCCAGTAATGGCCGTAGTTAACCGCTGAATGCCATCTTGTTCAGCGATTGCAGCCCGTGAAACACCAGTGTCCAGGTTACCGAGCTCGTCTTCGACTCCACCATTTCCCGATGGCCCAACACTCCCAGAGCGCTCCAGCCATTCACTCACACTCCGGTTGTTAGCTTGTTCCGCGGATTTCACCGATGGCTCGACGGGATTGGTGTGCCTATCGCAGTCCTCTTCGTCTATCTCCATTAAGTGGATGTGAAAGGCGTGTCTGAGGGGTCAAATCGTTTATAAAAGTTTTCTCCGAACTGGGTGAACCGAATCGTATCAAATTTTAGTACATGAATACGGAGGCCCTAATGATGATCCTGAAACTCGCGAAATTTCATTTTCGATAAAAAAGTTTATTAACTTATCATAGACTAGAACCAACATGGCATATTTTCGATATTTTCACGCCTTTTGAAGGCCTAGAATCAAAAATGAAGAGTTTCAGGACCGAGCCTGGACAATTTAGAACAACATAGTCGTATAATTTTACAGAGTCAGGTGGGAAAATATTGAGAATACTTTTATAAACGATTTCTGAAGAACGCACGCTTGTTTCGTGGATAACACGTGCTCTGTAATTGCTTTTAGGGTAAATAATTAGTTGCCGATAACTGTGCCAGATGGCACCGCAGAAAAAGTGCCAACTTGGGGCCCAATTTGTCGGTAAGATGGAATCCCACGTACACTGGACTCCATCGATGGGCTTGCTCCTGGTCCGCACTGACCTCTCCGGCCGCGCAGCGTACCAGCGTCGGGAGCAGCGCGGAATTCGAATCGCTCGAGGGACAGAATGGATTTCCTAAAGAAAATAAATATTTATAAACAAAAACAATTAATGAAAATTATTTTAGTATTACTGTGGAGCGTCCCTGACCCACCTAACGTAGTTTTTGTTAAATAATAATTTACAGAATTTTATAAAGAATATAATAGAACATTTTCTACTAAATGTTAAGAAGTTTCTTACAAGGAAACATTCCCAAGTGTCCGCTCCCGATCTTATTGATTTTCATCTATGTTGAAGAACACAAAAATCTAAGAGGCACGTGTTTTTTTATATCTGCAATGGTCCACATTTAAGGGGTGAAACAACCCCCCAAAGTTTGGGGAAAATTCGATTTTTATAACAATTTTCGTAGAAGCAATGGAGGGATTTCGACGAAACTTGGTATAAACGTATTCTGTATAAGGACGGTGAAAACACTATTGTCCAGCAATGCTACACCCCCCCCAAGGGGGTGAACTACCCTTCAGGCAACATTTTTTTGTAATATCTAATAAACGAGCACTCCTACTTAAGTTCCACTTACGCGATGTGATTGCTCACAAAAAATGCAGAATCCGTGTTTCTGCTTTTTACCAATAAACGTTTACACATCGGTTGTAAACAATGAATGTAGGTGGTATACGGGTATATTCCGAGTAGCTTTATTGGGTTATATCGTGACCAATTCATTCTATATAAATCTTGTGAACGTGCTAATTCCTCAAAATGTCGTTGGTTTTCATAGCATGCAATTATTTATAAATAAATTAAAAAAAAAAGTTGGAGACTATAATAGTTCCGCAACAGATCCGATGACGCAGTCATCACCCGTTTCCAACTAGTAATACAATATCCTTGGTGAAACTGTAAAATTGGATTTTTACCGTTTTTACGATAATAGAATTAGCGCTATTCGTAAATAATTGCATATTTTGAAAACCAACGATATTTTGAGGAATTAGCACGTTCACAAGATTTATATAGAATGAATTGGTCACGATATAACCCAATAAAGCTACTCGGAATATACCCGTATACCACCTACATTCATTTGAAAATTGTAGCCATTTCGCCGGATAAGGAAATAGAAATTATTGGTCACGAAAATTCAAGGGAGATACGAATTTCGCACCACGGCGCTCGCCCTGCGCTACGCTTTGCGGACACGGGCCGTTCGGCCCCGAGAGAGAGCGAAGGGAAAAAGAATGTGCGTACGCAACGGTTGACATGGGTGGCCCTCTGGCCGCTTCGCAGCTTCCTCGCCCGTTGCTCCGAGACCTCGAGACTTTACTGCTAAATGGGAGTACAGGCTTGGTACACGAAATCGCCAAGATGTGCGGATTTCAGATAACACGATCCGGACTGCAAGAGGGAAACTAACTACGAGTATGTTTCTTTATTGACTCGGAGCCTGAAATAGAGTATTTTGGGGGAACTTCGCCACGCGGTCGCTGAAATCGGCCAAGTTTCTAGCGATAAAGGTCCCAGTTTCCCCGGGCCTCACACCCTCTCCTTGTCCTCCCTCAACAGGCGGCTCTCGGCGGTCGACCCTAGGAGGCTCTCAAACCTGCGGAACCCAGACAGAAGAATGGGGAAAAAGGGGGAGGGTCACCCCGCGCTGTCCTGTTCCTCGGAGGATCCACTCGGGCCGTCGCTCCACGCGACCGCGACCCGGTGCGGCCGTTAGTCATCCCGCGCGACTAACTGCCCCCAGTAACAGAATAAAAGAGGGAGAGATAGACGAGAAGCCCGAGATCGAGGAACGCAACTCTAACGGAGGGAGGGGGGAGGCTATCCGTGGTGCGGGCCCGAGCCCTGGTTACCTTAAAGGCTTTTTGGGCTTGCCGGCCCCGGTTCGGCTGGTAGCCCTCCGGCTGTCCTTGTGGCTCGGCGACGATGTGGCTGTACGAGGTTGCAGGGGTTGCGAGGCGCGCACCTTTGTTGGCAAAACTGTCGGGGCGGAGAAGAACGATCCGCGGCTGACGGCTCGTTTTGTACGGGTTCCCCCGCCCTTGGTCCGGCGTCTTCCGCGGGGTCCCATTGGCCTAATTTCCCGCGGCTTGACCCAATTACGGCGTTGGGCTTCTTGACGGGGATCCTCGGCCGGCGCGCTCCCAGGATGGGGCGCCGCCGGGGACCGGCAGGCTGTCTGCTCGCGCCGCGCAGTATCAAGGCCGGTACCCGTGAGGGCCTCTCTCCCTTGGGCCGGTCGACGTATTTCCCGATAATGTCCTAAGAGTCCTGGTGGCTGGTCCCGGTTGACCTGGGGCTCGATCGGGGCCGTGGCCCTAGGTGTCCCTCCGTCGAGGAGGTCGCTCTGGATGGTTTCGGTGGTCGCCGAGGCGTCACGTGATCCCAATCGTTGTGGTTATTTTTGGCCCGTCCGCCGCACCAATACATGGCCGCAGACGGGCTCCTTAGGGACACAGAGACGTCTCCTCGATGATGTCGGCGGTGGTCGGGGCCTCGCAGGTGGGCTCCTGCCCGTCGGTTCGACTCCTGGCCGGGAAGTCGGCGACCTCCCCGGGAGCGGACTTCCTCATGCCGCCAGGGCGAACTGAGGTCCTACCCTCGCGGATTCGGTATCCGGCGGCCTATGCAGGTCCGTCCCCTGCGTGGTCTAGGTGGCCCGAGAGGAGAAGCAGGTGCCACCCTCGGTGGTGTTAAATGGTCCTCGACGCCGTTCCCCCAAGTCCTCTTCGGAGGTGCCCTGCAGACGCTTCCTTGATCGACGTCTTGATGACCCTGGTGCCTTGTTTTGGGTCATCCCGCGGCGGTCGAGCGTTGCGCGCGCCGAACCGGGCCGTCGCGCTTACAATCTCCCAAATTTGGCGAGGCCTTGCATGCCTAATTATTCGCCCTAAACGATGGGAATTAAAAATTTCCCGAAAAGTTCTTAATATGGCTTACTGCCAAAGAGACGGTGGGAAAAATGACATGGTTTTATTCTCTTCTTCTTTTCAGTTCTTTTCACTTCTTTTCAGGTACGCTACTGAAGAAGAAAATGGATTAATTGGATTCGAGCTACTTGATTAAATAATACAAACGCCATTTTTCGCAAAATAGAGAAAGGAGGTACGTCGAGGACGATTAATTCATCTTATTATTAATTAATACGTTGAATGCCTCGGGGGTCACCGGTGACCGGCACTCAACTTGGCGGTGGCGCCATGGGGGCCACCAGTGACCGGCGTGCCCAGATTTAGAGAAATATATATAACTTAAGCAAATGTCAATACTTATAAATTTGTATTATTACCATCATTAGTGCAATAGTGTCAAGAAATGAATGCAGTATGAAACATCTAAAAAAAAGTCTTATTTACACATGAAATCTACATTTATTATCCGCGCATATTACGATATGTGGTATTAAAGCATTTCAAACAAAGAAATGGTGAACCACCACAGTCTTCACAGTATGTCACGACTTTCTTAGTACACTTTTTTGCAATTTTCCTTCCTAGCATCTTTGAATTGTTTTGACAACAAATTTTGCAAAATCGTCGCACTGTTCCAGCTTTTCCCGGCATTGCTTTTAATTCATGACGTGGTTTTCTCAACCAGCTTTTAGATGGAGAAACTTGATAATCATGACAATTTGTTAAAAACATTGCTACTTTCATTCTGAACTCGGAAATTTGAATCTTTTTCCGTGTTAGCTCTTTGAATAATACCATTGCATTTATCATACATGTATTCAATAACAGTTCTATTACTAATTTCCTATACCACTTCAACGTTTTACGAAGTGGTGAACTATACGCTATCATTTGGTCTGATAAATCGACTGATGATTTTTCTAGATTGTATTCTACAACGATTGTTGGTTTTTCACAGGAATAGAATTTCTTTTGTACAGTAGTCACTTCTGCCGAATGTTTCGTTGAAAGCATTGTTACGTGGCGGCCGAGTGGCTAGCGAAGCCGGGGGAATTTCGTAGATTCCTCGGAGCGGTATTCCGTTGTAGAGATATTAACTCATACGCACACGTAACCAGTTTACTATTTGAGAGAATATGGAGAGGATAACCCGAGCGGCTAGGTCAACCTCTTTGGTGGGATGGATAGGTTTTTTGGTCCTCAAAGGGTATTGGAAAGTTGCAATGAGGACACAGGAGGGTTTTCAGGTTTCGTGAGAACCAAGTCGTTGTATTGTACTGAATGAAGCAGTTCTATTTATAATATAAGGGGTACAACGTCCATGGGAGTAAGGTGTACAAATATGTGCTGCGCTAAGCAGATCGTCGCGAGTCGAGGCAAGGACGTTATAGGCCGCGCGCTTGCACCTCGCGGAAGTGTAATAGAGATACGTCCGCGTATCTATTGCGGAATGCTGACGCGGAATTCTTTGCTTGCAAGGTGCGCTTTGCCTTACTCAGCAAGGGCGGCTAATAAGTTGCGATTCATATTTGAAGAGTTAGAATTTGATAGTTGTTACCGGGAGGTAGATAC